CCAGAACACAGCACATGCGGAGCCCGAGGCCGCAGCCAGCCCTGAGGCTGTTGCTGAGAAGTCCGCCATGGAGCAGGAGCTTCTTAGTGAGGTACCCAAGACCAACGAGACTGGTCTCCCGGCTCCCGCCATTGCCATTCCAGCCGTCGTCTCTGAGAGCCAAAAGGAGGCTCACGCAAGTCCTGAAGCAGCATCCAGCCCCGAGGTCGTCGCAGAGAAGACTGCCATGGAGTCTGAGCTGTTGCGCGAGGTCCCCAGGACCAACGAGGCCGGCGAGCCAGCCCCCGCCGTTACCGCTGCCACAGCCACTACTGCTCCTGCTGCTACTTCTGAGACCGTCTCCAGCGACGTACCCGAGGTTGTCGCTGACAGCCAACATGAGGCACACGTTAGCCCCGAAGCCGCTGCTAACAGTGAGGCCGTAGCAGAGAAGTCGGCCGTCGAGTCTGAACTACTCGACAAGCTCCCAAGATCTGAGGAATCTGGTGAGCCTGCTCCTGTACTGACTGCTGCAACCACCGAGACTGCACCTGCTGAGACCACACCTGCTGCTGCGACTGCTGCGGGAGCTGCGGTTGCTGCGACCGCTGTTGCTGGTGCAACTGCTGCTGTCGTAGCCGGCACTACCAGAGAATCAGTCAACGAGTCCGTTGCTCGTGATGTTCCGGATGTCGTCGCCGAGAGCCAGAAGGAGGCGCACGTCAGTCCCGAGGCCGCTACCAATGCTGAGGCTGTCAGCGAGAAGCGGGCTATGGAGACTGAACTTCTCCAAGAAGTGAAGTCAACTGAGGCTACCGGCGAGCCAGCTCCCAGTGCTGCTGTTGTAGGAAGCCAAAATGCCGCTGGCCTCTCCGATGAGGCCCTTGTCGATACTAAGCCACTCAAGTCCTCCAGCGAGCCCAACGCACTCAACGCGCCCGCATCGGAGCCTGCTCAGCCGCCAACCTCCAAGCCCATCGACTCTACTACCGAAGTCGCATTCAACAAGCAGGAGCCAACTATCACCGAGCAGACCCAGCCAACTGTCACCACCGGCGTAGAGACGACCAAGACCGAGGCCACTAGCTCTGCCCCAGCCGCACAGCTGGCGCCAGAGAGTCCCGCTAAGAACCTCAGGAAAGACTCAGACGTCTCTCCCAAGGGCACTCCAGGCAGCCAGAGCATCGCTTCTGGTGCTGACGATAAGAAGAAGAAGCGCCGCTCTTTCTTCGGCAAGATCAAGGACAAGCTATCCAGCAAGGACAAGAACTAGATGTTTCATCTGTCTTTTCTCGGTACTCTCAGGCCATCTTCATCCATCACGAGGGTCTTTGGAGCTTGGTAATACCCGGGGTTCATGCGCTGTGCTTTCTCACTCTTCCCCTTCATCGTTCGCCACGGAGTTTGTGCTTTTGGTCTATACCATTTTCCTTCCTGTGTCTGACATGTTCCATAGCAATCTGTTGCGTCATTTCTGTTCATATGCATCTCGAGACGTAAGAGAACGGGGGTAGACGGAAGAGATTGCACTCATAGTATACCTGGGTTGCTCGAAATAAGTTGGCCACCGATGTCGAAACGTGGGGTATTGGCATGCCAGCGGGATTGTATTTAATTTGCTAATGACGATGCGTTAGATTCGCTTCACACTAATCTCATCTCAAAACCTCCACCGCCTGCCACATTCATCATCAACTATTGACTTTCACAATGCACGAACGATCATCGATGTCGTAGCATCACTCGTCCACAGCCCGTCACTATCGAGCACATGAATTCACTATACGCGATGTTCGTATCGCACTGTGCACATACCATGGCGCCTCCCTCCGTCTATACAACTTGCCTCCCATAAACATCCATACGATTCTAACGTACCACACAACGGAACAACAACCCACAGTAACTACACTGCCCTACTACTCTAACAACGTCAAAGACTCAGTTTCGAACATATCGAAACAAAGACTAAAGTAGACACCTTCCACCAACGCAACACAACAATCACGGCTGCTCAACGCTATGTCGTTCTACGGTTTTGCTCATGGCGCCGACCGCCATGACGCCGGCTGCACTTTTCAGCAGTCACCTCAACCACGCAACATTTCCCGTCACATTCGCAATCACAGCGAAGGCTCCCAATACCGACCCACGCACCATGCCAGAGTTCGCTCTCGTTATGGAGCTGCAACGGAGTTAACGCAAATGATCGATGACCATGCGGCAACATGGCAATCGCTTATCGCACCTGCTCAGAACAATCGGCCAGCGAGTCAGGGCACTATGATCGTCGATTGGGATGGTAATATGAAACCGATCGTTCACTACCGAAGGAAGTCACAGGAGGAGCAGGACCTCGCGGCACTGAATAGGTCATCAGCACAGCCTCTGCCTTTGTCAATCCGACGCGGTGTCCCGAACATGGATCCAATCATGATGGCACATGAGCAGAAGCCACTGCCATCGCTACCCACCGACGGACAAACACGTCTTCACTCTCACATTCGGACATCAGAGGAAAGTAATAGGACGTCCTCGGAATCACTCTCCTATCATAATTCTTCGCGCCACGACTCTGTCATTTCCGATGACCAGCCTTCACCCCGTCGCCGCCTCGACCTGCATGTCCGGACATCTAAAAAAGTCCCTACAACCCCAGCCCCCTCATCTTCAAAAACACCAATATACGAACAAAACTCGTGTATCAGAATGGTAAACGGGATATTAACCTACTATCCCTCTCGCGTCTCACAAATCAGCGGTGTCACTCGCCCGGGCTACGTCAAAGGCTATGACAATGACACCAAAATCAGATACGAGACCGATGGCCAGTCATTCTACGCGCACCGCAGTGCTGAGCAATTATTTTCACCCATATCCGACCACTTTGACGTTGATGAGGATGAGTATAGCCAAGAAGGCGAGACGCACGTTGAAGATCAAGGGACCACTGCTCTACCGGCTAAACGAGTAAAGAGGAGGAGTAGTGTTACTAAGCTGGTGGAGAAGGTACTCTCCAAACTTGACGGGCTGGGGCTGACGAAGAAGCTCAAGGATGAACGGAAGAGCAATAAGAAGAAGCAAAGTTGGCGCGAGCATGGGTATCATGATTGACAATTAAAAAATGGATTTGAAAAAGTGCTTTCAGGATCTACTTTGCTCACAGTGATGTTTGATTAGCTAACAGGAAGACAGCATACTGTCGAGTGAGTATGCGTGGGAGTGAGTGGAAATGACTCATTGTGGCTTGAGGTGACTGCGCCGAGGATAGCTTGGCACGTGACTTGGTGGTCGCCAGTATTCCCCGGGCCAGTAAGTGTGAACTAATTTACCTATATAAGATTTGAATGCCTGGATACATCGATTGGCCAGAGCCAAACCGATCGCATTCGCGCCTTCACACGAGAGGTACTTTCCTACATTCTCAGCCGAGAGCCCGCTACTCCTTCTCCACGCAACTCTCACAACAAACAACTACACAAACAATATCAGAGATGACATCGGAATCGCGGACAGCGTTTCCTTGTAACACATGTTCTCTTTCTTTCACAAGCAGTGCGCTACAGCGTGCACACATGCATCAACCCTGGCAGTAAGATCATCCCGAGCATGTAAACGCGGAAGTGATTAGACTGACGTTCTGTGACAGCATCCACAATCTCAAAAGGCGCATTTCTGAACTGCCAGCTTTATCCGAGCAAGACTTTGGAATGCTCGAATACAAGAGCGAGGAGGTCACGCACCGACAGAGAAAGAACGACGATGCTCTGATACGAAAACCTCGGACAGCTGTTGCGCGCGACATTAGCGGACGCGATACCAACTCCAAACTATCGACAGCACATACACAAGACGACTATTTCAAGACTTCGTCCTCAACAAGATGTCTCTTTTGCCCCTCTTCCTCTCCTACTCCAACCACAAATCTAGACCACATGTCAACACAGCACAGCCTCTTCGTACCTGCACCTTCGCAACTCTACTCTTTAGGGTCTTTGCTCTCATATCTGGCCGTTCTGGTTTACGAATATCACGAGTGTCTCTACTGTGGACAAGAGAAGGGAAGTGTAGATGCTGTGCAGACGCATATGCGGGACAAAGGGCATTGTATGATTGAGATGGCTGAGTTGATAGATTTCTGGGATACGGAAGTAAAGGAGGGGGGTAGCGAAGATTGGAATTACGAGATGGCCGCCGAGACGCATTCACCATCTGGATTGGCCATTAACCCCCAGCGTAGCAATAACGCAGATGAGACGTCATCAAGAGCTACCAACCCAACTCTCGCACGTTCGCAGCGCCGCAGTCCAAGACACCGAAAATTAAAACCCGCGGTTACTGCCGCCGAATCTTTACCCTCCCAAGAACCTCCTGCCACACATTCACAGCCCGGTCATCTATCTTCATATCACAACAGCAACGATCCCCACCGTAACCTCACTACCACCCCGCGTACGGCGAAAGGTCTGATCGGTCTGTCAGACCGACAACTCCGCACTCTTCAGATAGTCGATAGGAGAATGAAGAGCAGAGAGGAAATCGCAAAGGCCAAAAGAATGTATGCGTCTCAACAGCAGCCAGTCAAGACTATGTATTACAAGACCGAGAATCCTGTGTATCAGGCTGGATGATCAGGTGGGGGATGGATATATGGCATATGATGGTTCTGTACGCGTTGGTGTGAGGACTACAAACGTGTTGGCAACTGCGTAGTGAAGTGTTGAGTTGACCTAGGAGGTATTCGCTGATGATACGAAGGCTGCGTGCAGTTGTCGGAGACGTATGTAGCCTGCAAGAGCTATAATGAAGAGCGATGTCGGAAGATCATAGTGTGTTGGAGGATGCTAGGCTTACTTGTGTATTGAGTCATTTCGTCTACTGTATACTAACCCAGGAGCTATTCACTAAGTGTACAGAGCAAGATGCACGTCCTCGCAAACCTATGTAGGCGGCAAACAAACTCATAATGAGCCACCGAAGCACTCAAAGTACGCTGAAGAGAGCAACGCATACACGGATATCTACATACCAGACTCAGCCCTCTTCACCCACAAGTCCAGATCAGCGCTATCGAGCAGGCAAACGTCTTCATCGATGTCCATCTCATTTTCACCGCCATCCGCGTATAATTCCTCGATGTCGTCCTCGTACGACTTGTCAGGCTCGTCCAAGCTCAAGACATTGAAGGCGCTCAAATCACCGATATCCACAATTTCTACCTGCGAGCCGATGTTTCGAACGCCAGGCATGTCCGCGACTAGACCTTGGAGGAGAGCGTTTCCCTTGCAATGCTCCAGAATGCGTGTGGACTCGTAGTAGAAAGTGGGAGGCGCCGAACTGGAAGATGACGCAGGCGGTGCATCGGCGGCTCCGTCCTGACCCTGACCCTTCTTTCCCTTGCCCCTGATCCTCTTCTTCTTCCCCTTGGTGGCTGCTTCGTTGAGAGCATCTGCGCCACCCGAGAACGAGAAGTCGAAGAGCTGTTGTGTAGCTGCCAGCTTGGTCTTGTCCCATTGCGGGCTGTTGCGGACACGAGCGAGGTACTGAGTCATGTGAACCTTCAAAGCATCGGTGCGCTTCTGATTGAGGACGATGAAGTGATCTGGGTGCTGCTGGAAGTGCCAGGCAAAGCGTAGCATGTGCTTCGTAGGGTTCGCCGGATCGAACTGCGGGCCAAGCGAGGCGTGTTGGTCGTATTCCATGCAGGCGAGAGTATAGGCGGCCTGTAGGGGTGTGTCGCTATTGTTGAGGCGGGCGGCGAGGTTGGCAAGTAGACGGGTACGGGTTTCGCCGCGGTACCTGGAGAAGCTAAGGTTTCTTTCGATCGAAGAACAGAAGTACGCCACAATCATTTGCTCGGGCCATTGCTGCATCGGAGTGCTAGCTTGGAGAGCCTTCATGATGTCGCCGCGATATTTGAGGAAGCCGGCAAATGTCGCGCCTTCGTTGACATTGGCGCTGCCGTACTGTCAGTAAATTATCAAAGAGAACGGCCTAGAGAACTTACACATGGTAGGGAAAGAACTGCTGCTGTGGCGAGGGACGGAGAATGGCGTCTAGGGAGAGAGTAATGTCGCCCTTCAGAGCACGCGGAATCCCCTCTGTCTTGCGCCGAAGCAGCTCTTCGAGGGCAGTGATGTCGTTGTGGGTGAGTTGTGGCAACATGATGGTCGCGGCGATTGGAGGCTGTATACTAGTGTTGTAATGCGTTGATACCAGCTACGGAATGGAAGAGAAGGAGAATGAGGAGAAGGGGAGCAAAATTGAAGACTATACACCAGCTAGCGGCTGCAAGATTAGGTGACCGTGACAAGAGTTGCTCTCCCACCTGCTGAAAGTGGGGTAGAGGAGGGTAACACAAACACTTTTGCCGCTAGGATTAGCGGTGACGCGCGACCTGGCTCTACAAGTAAAGGTAAGCGAGCTTAGCAGAAAGACAGAAAAGAAGTAAAGGCGAAAAATAGGTTCTACTACATCTAGAGTCAGAGGCAAAAAAATGGTATTGCATGCTGCTGCTGGGATCCTAACAGACTTGGTAATTGATCCCACTCGCTTCTCTGCATGTCTTTTGTTTTAAATAGTGTTGTGGCTTCTGCCACTACCTGAGTGCCGGTAAGGCGAGCTCGAAGGTAGTGACAGGAGCGGGGCTCGAACTGACGAACCATGTTCGAGCCCCTGATCTGGTTAAGTGAGTAAAGTTGTTAATGAGAGGTAGGGACGTACGCATTATAGCCATGAGGGCGCTGTATGTTAGTGATGGTAATCTCAGAATATTGGGTTTATATACCGACTCAAGTTTCGGATCGCGATATCCTCAGAAGTGAGGCACGGGGAGTTGTGAATAAGAGCGGTCGCTGTGCGCTCATAACGTGAAAATCGCACGATAAGCGTCGGTATCAGGCCGCCTATACATCTAGTGAAGGAGGCAGGTCAACCCGCCACTCGCCAAGGGTGACTAAGTGTCGTTCGAGCGTGCGCTACGATCGCTCGAGGCAGGCGGAGGATTGTAGCCATCAATCGGGGCTGGGTACATTAGAGGTAATAGGTAAGGGCATCCACCGTGCGGCAAACCTCAAGTAACTCACCAGATTGTAAGCCTAAGTAAGAGAACGGATGCGCCAACATCGCAAGAAAAGAGGTGGAAACAAGGAAACGAAATTAACGCGGCAAGTAAAGAACTGATAGATGATAGAACAGCCAGATGGCTTCGTGAAGCTTGCGTTATTGAGAGGGAATCTCCGAAAGCGGCTCTGCCGCACTCAACCACACTGTGAGCAGAAACGCTCTCTGCTTCAGCAAGAGGTAGTAGGAAAGATAAGCAACAGCACATCAATGGCGAAGCGCAAAGGTATATGTATAGAAGAGATTAGAGACGCGTTGTGAACAATTTTCGCGGTGAGATGTGATGAGGTTTGAAGCTCTGAGGTTGTGAAGAGACGCGTCAAACTTCGCGCGCTACGCCCCTTCGGGAACGGCAGCCCACATCCTCCGCGTGCACCTTCCACGAACACTTCAATCGACTTCATCCTCACTATTGTCATCACTGTGCGAGCCAGGTCTCGGTACAATCTGATTCTGAGGGATCTTCCAACTTCTCGAATCTGCTTCAGCTTCGTTGCAGCTTTTCCATCAAAATCGGTCATCGGCTACCGCTAGTCGGCAGAGCGGGCTCGGTCTAAGTGGTTGCTGGCTCAGAACGTGAGAGACGCTGAGCCTTCCGATGTCTTGGAATAAAGATCCATACTTGAAGAAGCGCAAGAGCTAGGAAAACACTGGTAGACGCTGATGAAACTGGTCATGACAAAGAACAGGAATGCGACGACTTGGTTGCGTACTTTAACCGATAGCCCATAATCAGTCACAGCCGTTACCATCACACCGCTGCGACACGTACCATTGCTCTTTTGGTTTTAGGTAACTTTACTCATGGAGACAGGACTCAAGCCGTTATGCTTCGACGGAAGGCAGGGAAACTTGGAGGCTAACGCGAACGCTTTGACTGACAAACGTCTTATCCATCATTGTCGAGCTCTGATCGTGTCTTGACCTGCCTTGAGCGAAGTCTCAGGCTTATCATAAAAACCGTCGCAACACGGGTCGCGGCCTTTGTGGGCCAATCGAGATGGATGCGCCAAAGCCACCAAGATCTCGCTTCGATAGATCAATCGCCACCAACATCACCAACACGCTATACATCAAGTCATGTCATGCTTTGGCTCTTCACATTACTCCTTGGCTTCTATCAGCATCAGCGTCAGCCAGCCGATATACAGCATAGAAGCAATAATTATTGGCTGCATCCACTCGCACGATTGACGCCTCTTCCACAATGCTTACGCCTATACGAACCATCTGAAGCCACTCGGCGGACATGTGTACTGATCACAATTAGAAGATCTTTGTCAGCGTACACCACGGCTTGCAACGAACGAGCTTTCGAAATGTTGAGATTTTATGGCGTCAGCACGGCAGGCTCAAGTTGTTAGCAAGAGAATCTTTCAGCCATCTCTCGTCGAAGTATAAGACCATCGATCGGCCGTTCATATGAACCCAGCACTTCATCTTTCCATCCCTTCAGTCAAGACTTCCAGACGATTATCATCAAACATGCATCTCCACTCCACTCTCACCATACTCTCGACCCTCGGCTTTGCCGCCACTAGCGTCGCCTATGATAGCATCAGCTTCACAACATGGAATTGCACTGATTGCACCCCGGTACCCGGGATCTTCTGCTCCACTGGAACCCGTGGCAACCTCCCTCCCAATGAATGCTACCCAATGTGGAACGGCAGCTTCACGATGAAGACATTCGGCGCTACTCTGCCCTCTTGCCAAGGTATTGAACTCATACACCCACATCACCGAGCTGTTCAAACTGACTGGTCTCTTAGTGAACCTCTACACAAGTTACGACTGCAGTGGAGCTGCCGAAGTGCACAAGGAGAACGGTGGTCGATGCGAGAGCAAGGGACCTACGAACTCGTACAAGCTCACTTGCTAAGAGCTTTGATAACTAGGAAAGGCATTGGAACATTGGCTTTTCTCTAGGAATTTCATTTTCTTTCTGGACCTCCTGAACTAATACTGCCGCTTCCTGTTTGTTCAACACTTGACAGTAGCGGCTTATATAGTTCAATATTTAGTGTAGTAGATTGCAATGAAAGGCGTCCCCAAATCTTCATCAGGTCGCGTAGAATTTGAATTTTCCATCAGTAGTCAGCTTAAGCTGTCGTCCGACGCACTGAGACGTTCAGTATAATTTGCATGAATATCAACAATCTGCCCAATCATCGCGCACACTTCTCTCGACTGCACCGATGAAGCCCCAGAGGTGTTCAGCGAAGTCGGTGTTTGTGAGGCATATGGCCCTAAGAACTCGTACAAGATCACCTGCTAGGTGTGGAGGAGTCGCCAGTGTGGTTGAATGTGTTGAATGACATCGTTAGATGGTAGTCGGCAACGGCAATGGTGGATATTGTATTACAGTCGTTACTGCTAGAACCTTCGCTTCTTATATAAATCGTGCTGCTCCTTGTTAGTTCAACACGTAACGAGAGTAAACAAGATTACAAAACACATACTATACACCCTGTGCCAGCATTTGTGTGCGAAGATGTTTGAAGATTGGGAGTCGTGATAGCTGTGCTACGCACATCGCAAAGGCAATAATAAAGGGAGGGGAAAGCAGGAGTATCAGCGATGAAGAGTTGAAGAAATATGATTATAATGCTACCTTGGGCATACAAGGCCCGCCACCCGCTCACCGGCGAGGTAACTATCAAACAGTAAAAGACCAAGCAGTGATAAGTCCCTATGAAATGATCTGAGATTTCACATCTCAATAAGAGACTGCAGATCTCTACCCATGGGAATTTGGTCGCGCAGGAAGTCACCTGCCAGCTTCCAAGCCATTCATCTATGCGCCTCCGCCAACCTCCACCAAAATCTTGACCTGGTTGTCCTTGTCGTTGATGAGGCTCTTGAAGCCCTTCTCTTCAACTTCGGTAAGAGCAATTCTCTGGGTGATCATCTCTTTCGGGTCCATGTCTCCCCTGCTCAGTGCATCAATAACTTCCTGGAAGTCACCAATCTCATAAGTCGCAATGCCCATGTACGTCCTCTCTTTGAAGTTGAAGTCGTTGGTGAAAATGGTGCAAGGCTTTTCCCAAATGGCAATGTTGACGATGCAGCCTCGAGCGCGGGTGGCATGTACGGCCTGGTTGAGAGCGGCCTGGACGCCGGCACAGTCGTAGACTACATGTACACCTTTGCCTCCAGTGAGTTCGCGGCAGCGCTTAGCAAGGTCTTCTTTGGTGGGGTCGATGATGTAGTGCGCTCCGAACTTTCTCGCAAACTCCTGTCTCTTTCTGCTCACTTCTGAGACGATGATCCGATCGCAGCCTTTCGCCTTCAGGGCTAGGATTGTTGATATACCGATGGGCCCACCTCCCAAAACCAATGCGACGTCGTCTTTCTTGAAAGGACTGATCTTGACTGCGTGCCAACCGACAGCGAGAGGTTCGACGAGCGCACCAATCTCGAGTGGAACATTGTCAGGGAGATGATATAGGGTAGAGGTTGGGACGACGATGTGATCTGCAAGACCACCGCCCCAACCAGATAGGCCGATGAAGCCGTTGGACCAGCAGCAATTTTGCAGGCCTTCCTCGCAGGCGCCGCAGGTATCGTCGTAGATAATGGGCTGAATGACGACCCTGTCGCCGGCTTTGTAGTCAGTAACACCCTCGCCAACTTCCTCTACTGTGCCACTGAATTCATGACCGAAGGTTAGTGGAACTGTTTCGCCGGTGATTGGGTGGGGCGTGGTAGGGCAGAGATTCGCGCCACCTAGGTGCTCAGCTATGGACCGCCTGTTCGTCATTCAAGTACATACCCAAATATTCGTGGAGGTATAAAGCAACGTCAGTCTCGCTGTCTCACTTTCTGTAGTTGGGTCCATACCTGATCCGCAAATTCCCACCCATGCCGGTTTTACTTTGACTTGCCCTGCTTTGACTTGGGGTATCGGAATTCTCTCGTATCGCAGATCGTGTTGCCCATGGAATCGCAGCGCGTTCATCGAGTTGTCATCTGCCGCGGCGGCCATTATGATCGAATTGGGTTCACACTATTACAAGCGTATATGAGAGTGACTTGAAAGATGGCGGAGGACAAGAGAAGGACAGAAGTACTTGGTCAAGGTGGCGCAGGTAGTTTGGCTCCTTCCATGGCCGACAAACAGACGTCGCGCTCATTTCCCCGGACTCGGTCAGTCCGTTGGCTTCGGTCTGTTCCTACTGGCAAGCGCATGTGTGCACCTGCTGCCCAAGATCACGGAATGCCTAAAAGGGTAAGCCTCCGGTTCATCACCCCGCATTCACGATGCGGGGTACCAGGTGGCATGGCAAATGGCCGGAAGCTTGACAACGCGAACCGATTTGCACTGGAGGAACCAAGTTCTGGACGAGCTCATCCATATCAGCTCGGCTCATGCGCATGCCATTGTAGCAGTATAAGAGCCGCGTGCCACTGAGGACTAGCTTGGTGCACCCGCGTACACAATCCTGGATTCTCAGCATATCCTACTGCATGCGCACTCATTGGTCGACGCTGCACGGAAAGGCAACCAAAAAAACAAACTCTGGATACACCTACCGATGACCTACCGATGAGAGATGAAGTACGAGGCCCGGGTTATGACGTCGGCAACTAAAGCATGACGCTCGGCACTCGGAACAGCTACGTCGTCGTACTTTCCCCGTTTGGATCGAGCTCGGAAAATCTGTCATCGCCTTCGCTGAATTCGCCGTCGCTCGAATGCGACATTCTTACAACACGATATCTGGACTTCGAAGATGACAGGAGCTATACAAGCGCATTGACGAAATCCACTGTAATTCGGTACGGTCGGAACGACCAGACGCGTATAGTGTGGATTAGCCAGCGCGACATGGCATGGTTTGCGATCTAGCCCTCGAAACCGTTGGCAGAACTCCGATGTGACGGTTAAAGTCGCGATCATTGATGCGTCAGTGACGGTCAAGAAAAAGGTACAATGCGCGCCATAGCGACAACGCGCTCGTGGCTGTAGGCCTACCCAATCAGGGAGCTGCAGGAGCCTCAACGGCGGGTACCCTCTCGTTCTCGTCCACTGTTATGACCTCACTGGACGAAACGCCATGGGCCGACTCTAACAGCTGGCGGGGGATTGACCGATGCTTGAAATACGTGTGCATGCCCCTCAACACGTGCCCCTCCATCATCTCTCTCACCTCCCCAACAACATTTCCCATACTCCAATTCAAACCCAAACGCAACCATGCCCTACCCAGAGACCACCGACGCCTTCGCGGTGACCGACATCAAGAACTGGAGCACATTCAAGCGCCAGGAGGTTAGTCAATAAGCCAATCTTCCAATTGATAGCTGTACTGACATTTTCCCAGCTTCCCCTCAAGAAGTTTGAGGAGTACGACGTCGACATTGCCATTGACGCTTGCGGTGTCTGCGCTTCAGATGTCCACACCATCACTGGAGGATGGGGCGAGGAACTCCCTCTACCCCTCTGCGTAGGACACGAGGTTATCGGCAAGGTCGTCAAGGTCGGTGACAAGGTCACCCGAGTCAAGGTTGGAGACCGCGCCGGTATTGGTGCTCAGATTGGCGCCGACCTTACTTGCGACCAATGCAAGAACGACCAGGAGAACTACTGCCCCAACCAAGTCGACACATACGGTGCTAAGCACAACGATGGCACTGTCGCACAGGGTGGATACTCCAGCCATATTCGTGGCCACGAGTACTTTGTCTTCAAGATCCCAGACAACCTCGACACTGCCCTCGCAGCGCCCATGCTGTGCGCTGGTCTCACCACATACTCGCCCTTGAAGAGGTTAGGAGCCGGCCCCGGCAAGAAGGTCGGTATCATCGGACTCGGAGGACTTGGTCACTTCGGTGTCCTTTGGTCGGTAGCTATGGGCGCCGACACCTATGTCATCTCGCACTCTCCCAACAAGAAGGAGGACGCGATGAAGATGGGTGCTAAGGACTTCATTGTCACCAAGGACAAGGGCTGGGCTGAGCCATGGAAGTTCCAGTTCGACTTCGTCATCAACACCGCTGATGCGACTGACAAGTTCGATCTCTCGGAATACTTCTCCATCCTCAAGGTCAACGGTACCTTCCACATGGTCGGCTTCCCTGACAACCCGCTCCCTGCCATGCCCGCCCAGATCTTCGCACCCAACGGCTGCTACATGGGCGCGTCCCACATCGGAAACAGGCCCGAGATGGAGGAGATGTTCCAGCTTGCATCCAAGCAGAACATCAAGAGTTGGGTACAGGAGATCCAGCTCAGCGAAGAGGGCATCAAGGAGGCAGTCGAACGCGTGTACAAGAACGACAACGTCAAGTACAGGCTCACCCTTACTGGCTTCGACAAGGTCTTCGGCAAGAGGGCTTAGATGGCTGCAAGAGCAGTGTGGTTGCCTTCTAGTACATAATAGACATCTATGAATAATGATGAATTTTGACGAAACTATTGCGCACTTGGTGTCGTCATTCCTGCCCATCGCGCGCGCTCGCCCCACCAGATCTCAGCGCGTCGCGTAGTTTTCGCCGGCGGGGATTATCCTGCCCCAACACCACAAATACACAACCCCCACCTACTCCACGGTGCTCCTTCAATTCCCACCTAAGCCCCGATTAACTCTCCGCGATGCCGTCGGTGCCGATCCATCTCCCAAGCTCCTCCGCAACATCCGCACGCGCCGAGAACGCCCTTCCGCAGCTCCTCCACACGCCCTCAGGCCTGGCGCTCATCGAAATCCAGGGCACAATCCACTTCCCTCCGCCTGCAGCCTCCGTGGCCTCCACACAAGTCGGCAAACTCGTCTTCCCACACTACAATCCCGCCATCAACGACCCGAGCGACACGAAATGGATGAAGCGCGTCTACATGTACGTCGGCAAGGGCCAGCGCATGACGGGCGAGTGCAAGAAGCTGCCCAAACCGCTTGGTGTCATGCGCAAGAGGGAAAAGACGGATGTGGAGGATGTGGAGATGAGTGGTCTTGGGGACGAAGATAGTGCGAGGGATGAGGAGCTGGAGATTGTGGAGGTGGTGAAGTACAAGATTGTGTTTTCGGCGCGCCCGGAGCCTATTAGTGGAATCGCTGAGGTGGATTGAGGAGAGGAAGATGATGCAGATGCTTTCGTCCAGGTCTGAACGCCGGGATGGCCACTCGTGGTACACGCATAGTTTTCGAACGATCGCGCGACGAACAAGAGCAAGCCTGCGCACACGCGACGAGCCTCATATCATACGCGCGAGCTGGTGACCGGATGGAGTGCCCGTGTCGCACTGTCGCGAAACAATGGGATATCATACTGCCACACTTGGCGCTTAGACTATAGGAGGGCGACCAGACCGACTATTCAGACTTGGAGAAGGACTTTCGAGCAAGCCTTTGTTGTATGCGATATGAGCTGTACCCGGATTTACAGGCTCGGTCGGCAATCCCTGCATGGGCTGCAGTCACAAGGATCGGGCGTTAGCCACTTGAACACCAGTATATTGATTAAGCAATTTGGCGTCGCACAAGCATATTGCAATTCAGCCTCGCTCCCGGGTTTTGATGCTCGCTTGTCGCCCTAGGGTACTTTAACCACTTTACGCGGCGACCACGGTCCGAATCATATCCAGTACGAGCACTATATCTGGCATCATGTGGTAACGTTCTGGAATGAAGATGGAAGATATATGGTAGCAGGATTGTACATCAATATGGTCTGTCCTTGAGAAGACAAGCAATTAGCTATCCACCTGAAGCAGTTGCCACATCTTGCCTCATCATGCGTTGCTCGATCATGACTCTGCTAGCCCTACTAGCTAGCACTACTCATGCGGCTGTAGGAGATTGGCAGCAATGTATGCTCATCACAAAGTAGTCAGGGTACATTTGCTAATTGAAGAGCAGGTGGTGGTACGAACTGGTCTGGAGAGACAGCATGTAACTCAGGTGCTGGCTGCGTCAAGGTCAAGTAAGAGAATGAATCGCATTAATGCCTCGTGCACCAAGGCTAACTTCTCAGTGACTACTACTCTCAATGTCAACCCGGTGCTGCACCTGCACCTGCGCCCACGTCTACGCCTGGGCCCTCCACCATGTCCACTATGCCAGTACCAACATCTACAACAGTCTCACCAAGTGCACCAACCACCACCAGCACCCCCGCAGGCACAGGACCAGGCAAAACACTCCAAAGCGGCTACTACTGGATCCGCGGCGTCGCAGCCCCCAACTTCCACAAATACTTCCAAACGAACCCTCTGTACTCGACCGGCCCCGCCCTCCTCGGCGACTACACAACAGCAGGCCAGTTCCAGGTCGTCAGCGGCCAGCTAGTTCAACTCGTCTCCGCGCCCGGCGAACCCGTCAAGCTTCTCTACGCCGTAGTGTCTGAGGAGCGCTCGATCAACGGCATGTCGCTCGCTGTCAGCTTCTCGGAGAGCAAGAACACGTATGGTACATTTGCTTGGGGCGGAGATGATCTTCAGTGGAGTGTTGCAGGTGTTAATCGACCGAATAAGAGTGCGTGGTATGTGTGCACTGGGCAGAAGTTGTATATCAATCTGGGCAACTATTTGTACCAGACGCCGAGTGGGTGCGCTGATCAGACTGTGCATTATTACAATGATAAGACGGCGAACAACTAGGGCATGTATGTGGTTGAAGAGCGTTGGACAGCAGAGCGGAGAAGAGTTGGGGCGAGATAGATCAATTGAGTACAGTAAACTACTGATACTGACAAGAAGACCATGACTCCTAAGAGCTCATGGTTAATTCAGTCGAATCTCCTTGTTCCATTCAGTACCATCTTCACGATGTTCCGTACCTCTAAATTCCAATGCAGTGCTTTTGTTTTCTGCCGGAGCTTTTTCGTCCCCAGGTCTTCTCTGTCATCTGCTCGACCTAGCAGAGGTAGCCAACGACGTCGCCGACAGTAGCGCAGTTGGCCATGAGGGGGTAATCGCACTGGCTACCATTGTTACCAGCCTCGCAGCGGAAGAGCGGGCAAGTGGAGTCGTAGGGACCACCGATCTGG